AAGCAAAAACCAGCGACAAAAATACAGGACCACGTTTTTCTATTACATTGAAGACCGCATGCAAAAATTCAAGCCCTTTCGCTAAAATTTTTTTTTTCACCCAAATCATCACTTAGCATGGTTTTGCACTCACCCCTTCAATTGTTAACTTGTCTTATCTTCTCCCTTTACATGTTTCTCCTTGTTCACTTATCTTAGATACATTGTAATTTAAAGTGAAGTTAACACCAACCTTTTAGTGCAATGACCTTAGATTTTGGATTCATAATAGCAGAGTCTGCAGAAATTGGTCTTCTTGTTGGATTATTTGCATCCGCTAAGTCAATAATGACCACTTGAGCTGTCTCGCCAACTTTTTCCCGCACACAAATAAATTTGTCTGACTCCATTGTGAGGGTGGAGAAGCCAATGTTAGCAGCATTTATGCCTACACTTTGCAGCTGAAACAGAAATAAAACCAGAACAATTAGTAAAAGCAATTTCTCTTTCAATTGTCACATTGGAGAACAATGCAATTCTCCTGGCTGAACAAAGACCACAACAGTGAGAAGGGAAAAGTAGCAGAGGTAGATTCTCAATCCAGAAAACAATTAAGCAGACAAACCACTATCCTTGCCAAAAATAAGCCAACAGGGAGAAATGTATTGGTTGATGGAGCAAGTGATCAAAGCCAAAGTGAAAGTTTTACTTTGGAATGGGGATGAATATACCTCCAAAGTAGCCTACCAGTGCTGCTAAGATATAAATTTCACAAGCCAGGAAAAGGGGGGCCCTTCTATTTACAAGATAGCATGACAAGCATAATGTGGCATCTTTGACAAATGTTATACCAGAAAAAGGATGTCTATACAGTTTTAACACATATACATGGAGGTGTAGATCAAGATGATAAATTTCAATCTTGGAACACCACTGAAAAATAGTTTCAAGTGCTAGCAATGCATCTTTTGGTTCTTCTTCAATGTTGCTGCTTACAATGGATGTATTCTATAATATGAACCCCAAAGAAGCCATCAGCAAAAACGATTACAACCACTTTTCAGTTTGAGTAGGAAAGCACCTGATAAAAGGCTACTGGAAAAAGACCAGCAAACCAGAAAGTGTGTAGCTAGTGCTGCAGTGTGTTGGCCAAAAAAAACAGTAAAAGGCTATCCCATGGAAACAAAAACCTGGTGTCAACAGTGTGGTGTTATGTTATGTTATGTTATGTTAAGTATTTTTATAATTTTTCTTCGATTTATCGAATTAGCAAAACATGTAAACACATGTTTACATTCTTTGCAATGTACATTTTGAAAAAAAAGTTACAGTTTGGCCTTTTGACCCTGCAGAGGTTTGGAACTCAGACAAAGGTAATGGTGAGAAATTCAAATTGTTAATGAACAGAAACTTGGAGCAACTTTACTTCAACAGCCTTTTTAATCTTTCTATTAAAAAGAACAATATTTTGCAACAATTTCCCCATTGAGTTTAGCCTATGGATAACTCTCGCCTTACAGACACCCTGCAATTATGGATAGAAGCTACACCCCCAGCCGAAACTACAAAAATGTACAATTTAAATAACTCCTTCTATTACGGACTCTTTCTACTGTGAAATTGTGGACATTTCATGTGGTCCCAAACTAATTGTTCCTCTAGACTGTTATAACGAACATCTTGGACATATTGAATGACATGATCATTTTGGGTTTTTGGAATGTTCACTAGTTTGTACACTATATTGACCTATATTATATGATTATTTATCAAAGTAAAAATTTAACACCCCACTGTTGCAGACTCTTGATAATATGGACACCAAATAGTAGTCCCAAGGATGTCTGCTATAACCAGTGTTTAACCAGTAGGTTTTGTAAAAAACCATCCTTGGCCCCCCAACTTCAAAATTCAATTTTTTTTCTTTCATATTTTCCACTGCTATTTTATTTCATTCAAGTTAAACTTAATTATGTGTGTCCAAAGGACAAAATGGGCCCAGTGTTTGTGCGTACTATGAAAGTTTTATATGTATATGCGCATGATTTGTGTGTAAATGCGACCTCTGGCTATAACTAGAGTTGAGGTATAATGGCCCAAATTCTACTAAGCATGCATGTTTTAAATTTTGATGAATTCTTTGTGTGACTATATTTATTTATTTGACAAATGTAATATTATTTGCCTTGTCACGATTATGATTACCATTACGATTTCTTTGAATTGCTGCTATCCTAAATATGGCTAAGGAAATCACTGCTATATTTCAATAGTTTGGCCCCATTTGGCTTTGGTACTGCCCCTCCCCAAACAAAAAAACAAATACTAGCTATGGTCCTGAACACTACAGGTCTTCAGCTTAGCATAGCTTCTTCTAGTTAAAAGTTTGTTGAACATTTTTATCAAATTAAAATTATTTTTTTTAAGTTGACAAGGTACCTTGCTGGATAGTGTTTGTTAGAACAAATGTATTGAGAGGACACTTACAAACAATAATTGTCCAATTTACCTAGTTAACTGTCAAAGACCACAATCTGAAGCACACTTCTGCTGAAAATGGATGTTAAATTTCTTTTTTTTTTTTTGGAATTTAAGAACAGCCAGCAAATGCAATATAATTTAATGACTTCTAATAAGCTGTTTTTCAGTAGCTAAAATAATTAATGTACAATTTTACACCAAACACTTATGTCAGAACATTATAAACTAGAAAATCTTTATATGAATGACATGTCGCAAACTACAAACGAAGGATATTTGTTCGCCTCCAATTCCCCTTTCTAACTTCTAAACGACCTTCCCATCAAAGGATGCATATTTTATTCAACACTGCGAAACAGAGCTGAGAGCCGACACAGGTAAATAAACTTCTTTGATAGCAGCGTAATCAAAGTACAGGACCAAAGGTAGGCATTCTTTAAAGAAATCACTTACAACGACGAAATGGCCTAAAGATGTTACAGAATGTTTAAACTGAACGTACGGAAGATAAAAGAGCGATCAAAAGCTCTGGTACTAGATTTACTGTTTAAGTAGCCATAATCGTAGCTCAAGTTCCTGTTCCCGACACGAACACTAAACATTTCAACATGGTGTAAGCCTACGCCAATCAGACGCATTTTCCAATAGATTATCAGCAGGCGCACAGAAGGAGCGACAGAAATTCTTCTTCAGAGTTCAAGCAACTTTACGGCCGTTCGATTCACTGTGATAGAACCATGCGCTCAACAGAGCGAAAGGAATATATAAGTAAGCATTAGGATCAAACCCGCGCACTAACCTGGAGATGTTCTTGAAACCTAATCGGTAAAAGCTGCGCCATTTCCACTTAATTTATCCACAGAGCGTCCAACTAGAGACTGAAGTACTAGGAGGAGCCAAAAGACGCCAATTATACGAGAAATACGCGTAGAAATCGAATCTCCGGTCAGTGCTTGGTACAAACGAACATGGAGGACTCGCTGGCAGCCGGTGTGGTCTCAGGAACGAGGCTTGAGGGAGGTGCCACGTGAGAAATATGGCGGACATAGGGTCACGTGCTACATCCTAGGCCTGGAGTTCCTGGGTCAATATTCCTGATCTCTGAGGTCCTAGCCTTCAACGTTTGATTGAGTCGTCGAAAACAACTTTTGGGACTATAGTTTTCCGTGTCTCTCAGTTTGCTGTGTTTTTCATAACAGAAAGTTTTAAATTGTTTTTCTCAAATTTGTCCCGGTTTTTACGTGTAATAAGAACCAGTCTGGCTCAAAGTAAAATTGAAGACACGTTTGGCTAATCAACCTCGTTCCCAGTGTGTCAAAATCCTTTTTTCATGAAAACTTTCGAAGACTTCGAGGACTGCAACAAATTTATTCATCGTTGCAATGACTCAGGGGAAGACATCATGAAGGAAGCGTACTAGCACGAAATGGATCATGGGAATATTTGTCACGCGTGTGGTGATTGACGAAGATAATCATTTCGCCGAGGGCTCAAAAAAGTGCAAGTTTAAAACACTGTAAACAAGATTAAATGGTAACAAGTAGTTCCATGGCTTAGACGATGAGCGGAAATGTCCTATGAACCACCAGTTCTTTCAAGAAAACTTGGCTTTGGTGATGCGAAAGCCCCCGAAAGCAACAGTAGATTACAATCACGTCTTAGTCATGGAGAGAAGCCAGGCATGTATAATGCATATTTGTAGAGCGTAAACGGGCTAAAAACCGTGATTTTAAGAAATTGTCGTATCATTGGTTGTATTTTTGTAATGTGTTTCTTTATCTTAGTAGCTAATGGTCTGACAAGATCACTGCCCCGATTTGAAGAGAATGTCCAGCGAGAGGATTTCAAACTTCTGATAGATCCCGCCATTAAGAAAGGACATGCTAAAATCTACAGATATAATGGAGTGTTTCCAGGGGTAAGATTATTACTCGTGGATAAACGTGTCGTAATCGTCTGCCATACTGTCTGTGGAACTTTTCTTAACTTTTTTGTTTCACTTCCTTCTAGCAACCACCGGTTGTGCCAAAGGATCCTCGCTCTAGGAGAACGAGAATATGGACTCTCAACAAAGCCGATTTACCAGTTCCTAATTTTAAGGTTTGTTTGGTTTTGAAGTTCCTTAAAACCAATTCTTGAAGTTATTTCGGAACATTTTGTCTAGTTATGTTTAGGGTAACTGATTTAGCGATATGGTAATTATTTTTGCCTGACCAATTAAGCGATTGCCACTTTACAAATCTAAGTATTGTTTTGGTGATTCCCTTTTTATTAGGTGGACAAGTGGTATGTAGGAATTCCTCCGCAACGCGAAGTGCACTTTTCGGGTTTAAATGACAATGTGGACAAGAAGTTTTTACAAGAGATGTGCGAACGCTTTGGCCGAGTCGATGCCATAAAAATATATTATGATCCACAAACAAAGAAACACGCCGGAAAGGGTCGTGTGACTTTTGCAACTACCAACGCTGCTAAAATGGCAGTTTCAAAATTGGATCACACTTCTGTCATGGGAAACATCATAAAGGCACATATTGATCCTAATACCAAAGGTAACTTATGGTTTATGCTCGTTTTATTGACCATGAACGATTTGTGATCGAGTTGAAAGTTTCAGCATTGTGTGACCACGTATGAGTTGGTTTGTTATTGTTTCAATCGTTTCATGCAAGTGCATTGTGGGAAACTATCCAACGAGAGGGAGTTTGGCACTGATCAGAAAAACATACACAGATGAAATCATAAAGTTATAAACCTGTTGTGAATAAAGATTGAATTGAAACAGTCACTTCTAATTGCTGCTCTTTAAATTTCCCAATTAAGGCTTATCCTTGTTGTCAGGGCGTATCTAATCGATAGAAATCAATCATCGAAAATGTAATCGATTAATCGATAATACTTGATAGTACTCGATATTTGTCGATTGATTAGTCAATTTAATCGATTGAAATCGATAATCACAAATTTTTGTCACATCGATGGAAATCAAAAATCAAAAACGTGATCTGATCTTATCATAACACTGCGTAACATTNAATTGAAGAGAACGAGAAGAGAACTCGAGATATCATAACAACAAGTATGACTCTAATTGTGAAGGCGGAAACGATAGTTTCGTAACAGTTGCGTTGTGCATGTTTTAATCCTTTTCAGTTTCAAAATTTACTAAAAATTCTATAGTCAATCTTAAATAAAGCCGTGTAAAGGGAATGCTTATCAGTTCAGTTTTGGACTACTGTGTATTTGTGCGGGTGAGTTCTGACTCATTCTAGCGTAAAACTGAGAACTTTATGAAAGAGAATCTTTGTCCATTTATTTTTTTCGATCATTGTCGAACAAATCGATAAATCGATAGCTAATTACAGAAATTGATCAAAATCGATAGTCACAAGGACGCGAGTGATCGATTTCCATCGATTTCCGATGTTAATCGATTGATAAGTATCGATTACGATCGATTACGTTCGATTTCTATCGAGTATTGAAAATATCGATTAGATACGCCCTGTTGTTCTGAATTCTCTATTCTCGCTATATAAGAAATGGACATTTTTTTAACAAAGTTTGATGTTTTGGGTAATTAATGTTTGCCAGGCCAAGTAAAAGTTATGATAAACACTGACAATGAATCTTTTTGCGTAAATCTACTTATTTCTGCTGGGCGGGATAGCATACAGATAATATTGTCCTTTTACTACAAGTTTGATGTGTTTAATGTGGCCTTCTTGCTCCGGCCAAATGATTCCTAATGACAAACAAATTGCCCATTGTTAGTGTTATCTGTAAGCAAGATGGATGAAAATGATTGCCTTACTAGTATGCCTGGGCATTCCAGCTACTTTCGTGCTTAAAAGTACATAAGAAGCAATAATAACTTTTTATATCGTTTGTTTACCTTTTCTTGACTTCCCAAGCTGTAAACAATGCAGATGATTCTTTTGGCTTTAATTAAATTCCTTGTATGCGTCTGGAAAAAAAATTTTTTTTTTTCCGTCAGAGGCTCTTCATACTTAAATTTTCAGGAGAACCCTGTATTGATAACTTCACTAGATTTTTAGCATAATGGTATTATATCTATTTTAAAATATAAAACTTTTAAGGTAAAAGCTGTTAAAATTGAGTCTTAACGTTTTCGATCTGTTTGATCATCATCATAGTGAAATAATATGCAAACGTTCAGTGTTCTTATAGCATAAAAGAAGCGTTCTACATCGCACACACCCGTCCAGAACTAAACAAACAAGTGCAATCACCAGACCTCACCTTGTTCCCCATGGGAATAGGTATTACATAACTGGCATTACCTGAACTATAAGAACGCTGAGCGTATGCATGTTATTTCACTCTGATGATGATCAAATAGATAGAAAACGTTAAGACTCAATTTTAACAGCTTTTACCTTAAAGTTTTATATTTTACTTTTATTGGCAAAATGTATATATATCTATTTTGAGATAAACTTTTGAAGGTGCATGCTATTTTATATATAATTTAACTGTAGTCAGTGTTACACAATGTTTATAAATTATTACTCTTCTGGTGCCATTTTGTTTGTGGTTTTAGGACATGAAGTTCACAGTAAACAGCGAGGATCAGAGCATCCTCCTGCAAGAAGAAACTCAGGCCATGAGATTTGTTCGGGAAGTACTGCTGCTATGTCTCATTCCACAACCCACTTACCGACTCCATCTCCTTCCTTAATGTCACAGTCATCATCTGCAGATGGTTCAGTGCTGTCACCTTCATTGCTGTTGATGAAAAGTCCTGCATCATCAGTTCGACTGCCAGCAGATGTTTGGGGAGGATCACTAAGTAATTCATGGGACAGGACAACTGCAGGTGGCAACAAGTTGACTCAAAGTGGATCAGCCTTTATGTCCCCTCAAAGTGTGTCATCTTCACAGTCTACATTTGAACCAGTCTCGCCACCACATGTGTTCCACAAAAATGATGAGCCCCCACCCCCTCCACCACCAACCTCAAATCCCCAACCACCACCAGTGGAGAAAGGCTCATCAAAAGAGCCTCCACCACCACCCCCTTATGAGAAACCTGGTGCATCTTACATTAAGTATGAAGATATATCGCCTGATCCTATTTTCTCCCCTAGAGATGAAGATAAGTTAGTACCTTCTCACAAAGAGGATGATGTCCAAACAATAACCAAGCTTATTGAATCATGTAGAAGGGAATCCACACTTAATTCGTCACCTCCTAGCAAAACTCGATCACCTCGCATTGACAGAAATGAGAGTTACACAAAATGGGAAAGAAGGAAACAGTTGGAACGAGAGGAGAGATATCGCGATAAACAAAGAGACTCTGATAGGTATGGTGGATGCAACGATAGGGATCATAGTTATAAAGATGATCGAAGGTTTGACAAACATGGAGACTACCGATATAAAAGAGATGATAAAAAGGTTGGTAAAAGGGACAATTACAGGAGGGATGATTATGATAGAAACAGAAGTGGAGGTCGCTGGGACAAAGATGATTACAAATATAGAAAAGACAGGTTCAGTACAAGTCCAAGGAGAGGGGATGAGCGCAGATGGTCTGATTTAAGAAACAGGGATCCTAGACTGAGAGACAGAGACAGAGATAGTGAAAGTGGTGATGGTAAAGAGATGCAAAGTAAAAGACTAAATGAAAGAGATAAAGAAGGACATAATGGGGAAGATGACCACAGTCGTGATCCCAGATTGAAAGGAAGAAATCTGGAAACTTCTGATAAGAAAGTGAAAGAACAGAAGAATGAAGGAAGTAGTTCCAGAGATGTTATTAACAAGGAAACTAGATCAATGGACAGTGAAAATAACATTTCAGACCAAGACAGAGAGAATAACACTTCTGATTTAAGAGTCAAAGATCCCAGATTACAGGGTAAGGATAGTGAACAAAAAAGTATTTATCAGTTTGAGTTTTCTCACAATCTCAGCTACAAAGACACTTTTGGTCAAGAACAGGAAAATAATATTGCTCAGGATGAAGATCTTTTGTCTACATCTGATTTAGGAAAAACGGAGAGTGTCTCTAAAAATTCAAGTGCAGCAGAAATTATCTCATCTGTGGTAGCTGGTGCCTCATTGGGGGAAACAAAAACAATAAATAGGTACTCGGAGGATGCTTATACACTTGGGGTAGAAACCTGTTCTGATGAAGAACCCTTACCTCCCGGTGATGAGCATGATGTTGCTCAAGAGGTACAATTAGACATTACCAGAAGCAAAATCAAAGCTGCACAGAATGCTGTAAAGAAGCGAAAACTTTCGGAGACTGTTCAGGATGACAAGCAGACCAGTGGATCTAAAGCAAAGAAAATACAAATAGTCTTAAAGAGTGTTCAGCTTAGTGCAGCTGAAACAGAACAGAATCCATCAGCGAACTTAGATAATACACTGAAGGATAAGGAACATGGAGATGAAGCTCTCAGAGGTTGGAAAAGAGTTTTGCTTACTGCTGATAAGTCTCTGCCTGAAGTTGCTGCAGATATTGCAGTGTCTTCTTCAGAAGTAGAGGTCAGTTCATTTGGAGTGAAAAACTTACCACTTACAGAGGATATTTCTCCCTGCAATTCTCCTGCCATTGAAACAACAAGCCAAGTGGAATGCAGCAATGCAACAGTTTCCAAAGAACCAGTTTCAGGTGACCTTTATTCAGACATTGAAGGAAATGATGATGACAATGATGTTAATGATGTGAACAATGATGATAATGATGATGCCATGTCATTGTCATCCATTAGCTCAAATGAGGACACTTTAGAAGTCACTGAGCCAGATAGCAAGCCTTTGCCAAAGCCAAAGGGCATTTCTGTTCCACCACCAAGTGTTGTTTTTCCACCTTATCCACCTCCCATATTCAATCCCAGCATACCACCTCCACCCTTCTTTAACCCGAGGGTACCTCCTCCACCCCTAGGACCTGTTTCTGTTCCTCCACCACCCCTCCCTACAGTCCCTCCACCTCCCAATATTTGTCCACCTTTACCTGTAAGGCCCATTCTACCACCAGCAGTACCACCACCCTCTGGCCCACCTATCCCAGTTCCATGTCCATCGATACCTCATTCTTCATTTTACGACACAAGGATGGCACCACAGTTCTCTAGTGTCAGTTTTCCCAGCAGTGGAAATTATGGCTTCCAGAAAATAGAGCAGAAGAAGCCGTGGACAGCTGTGATCATTGATGAGGTTTATAGGAACATCTGTGGTGATTTGGACACTGTTCTGAAGAGAGATATATTTAAAAAGCTTGTTGAAGCATCTGCATTCAAAGCTTTGGAATCCTGGTGGGATAATCAGACCAAACCTAAGGTAATTTTTTGCATGCATGCACTTTAATTGTTACCAAATTGTGCTGCAATAGACCAATTTCGATATATTAAAATTCAGCTTAACACAATAGACCTCAGCATGAGGCTCTGGGGAATAAATCCCACAAACTCTGTAGTTATTCCCCAGAGCCTTGCACTGAGATCTATTGTTTTAGGCCGAATTTTAATATATCGAAATTAGTCTTATCACTCCTTCACTTGCAGCATTCTCCCCCTTGCAGGATTATTTGTCCTGTAAAATTCAATGGCTGGGCCATAAATGTTCCCCAACGTCAAAACTATTCTGTTGTGTCTGAAATACATTGAGCCTGCTACTGGTGGAGTCAGTTGCTTCTCAACTGAAGAAATTATGCCCATCAGAAAACTGAACTCATTTTAAAAATAATGTACCTTTTGATGGCTGACATTTCACATTATATTTGTAAAAGTTATTACTGTTATCACTATATTGAACAAAAATTTGTTACGCCTTATCAAATGTTTTGAAAACATGATTCCCGCAAGTCCCAATCAACATTCAAAACTTGTCAAGTAGCTGTGAGCGTCAAATGTTGTCTAAGATATTATGCTGTTTCATCCCCAGTTTTGGTATGCCTTTATTTACCAACTACTTGAACACAGCAGGTGCCAAAATGCCTTCCCAAATAACTCTGCAATATTGTTGCAAAATCCTGTTTTTCTGTCATAAAAAAAATATAAATTTGGGTGGAGGAGTAATGCTATGGGAACATGAGCTGAATGGGAGTGTTTAAAGGGACACTGTCATGATATATTTTTTTTACAATAACTGTCTAATTTCTTGCGTACTGATTGGCTCATTTTTATCATCAATAAGAGTACAGACAGATAAAATGGTCAAAAAAACTGTCAACTTTTTATCCAATGAGATTTTGTAGACTGTTTTACGTAGCCAATCAAAAAGCAAGAAAAGCTATTTACAATGTTCGCGTCATGTGGAATAAAGTTCACTTATCTCTGTTTACGGCAAGTTTACGGTGTCTTATCCCCTCATTTATTCCCGGCATTTGACCATTTTGGGGTCTTGTTATTGTAAAAAACAAATTGACGTCAGTTTTTTATGTGTCTGTCGTCTTATTGATGATAAATTTTGTCATAACAACGTCAAAGTTTACTGCGGAACCACTCGCCTCCAGCTCATGGTTCCACAGCCACTTTGACGATGTTATGACACAATTTATCATCGATAAGTCACACATAAAAAACTGACATCAATTTGCTAAGCTTAAAACTTGTATAAATTCACAAAGTGGTCCCTAAATTTATGAAATAAGAACTTAATTAGCTCTAACTATATGATTAAAAGCAATTTCTTGAAGAAAATCCACACTGCAGCAACATGTTTGCAAAATTTCAATGATTTTCGAGCTAAAGTTGAACATTTGAAAAACTGACATCCGGACGCTTTTTCAAAAATCTATGTGGCAATTTGTTTCCATCCTCGCCATTGTTAGCCATTCTCACTTCATAATGGGTTTTAATCATTTGTCAAGTGCTGCTCTACAAAATAAAACCATTATTGTTCAGATTCCAATGATCGATATATGTTTTTGAGATCTCCAATCTCACGCTAAAAATAGTGATGGTGTCCCTTAAAGTTTTCCCAAAATGTCATATTAAGTGCTTTTTTAACTTGGTGGAAATACAAAGAAAATGTTTGCTCTTTCTTTTAGTAAACACTGCAAGACAAGGAAAAGAAAATTTATCACTTGTTCATTTTGATTTTAAAAATGTTTGCTTGTGCAATCATCAACAGCTTGTCCCGTTCTGTTTCTATCAAGTTACTGGATGCACAGTAGTTCATATTTTTAGCATGCACTTATTAGCTGTGAGATTATGAACTTGAGATTTCTGAGGTGATTGGGGATCACTAAAAATTCCTTTCAAATGAGGACTTCTAAATATTTCTCTACATCTTATGTAGAATTGAACTACGTGCCTTAGCATTTTTGTGTGAATTGAATTGTTATTTGAAACTTGAAGCTATTTACATGTATTAATCAGTTCATTGAACAATTTTGAGATAGCAGTCAATTTCCTTTCTTTAGTCTTCTTGAAACTGAATTTTTCTTGATGACATTTGTCTTACAAACTGAATGTCATTGTTTATCATTAGGACATTTCACCTACAACTGCAAATTCATCAAGAAACCTTCCTATGGGCCAAAACCCAACATCCACCATTGGACTTCCATCAAACTCGGGTACTGGACCTTCAACAATTGGACCGAGTCCTTTTGAGAGATCTCACAGTACCATGCCTCTTGGGTTACGTGCATCACTGCCTAAGCTACCCTCCTTTAAAGTCAAAAGGTTACCAGAACCCCCTAAAACTGAAAAATTGGATAGTTTTACAAGAAAGCGCAGCAACACTGAGTCCACAGATGTCCTTGAGCGGGAAGTTAAAAAACGGATTTTGGGTGAAGGAGACTCGGAAATGGAGACAGATTTGGAATGCAGTTCTTCATGGGACAGGCGACCACATACCATTAGCAGGTTGGACGAGGGTGAGCGTAGTCAGTCACCACAACAACTTGATGACAGTATGGATGTCGCCCCACGTGCTACAATAGTGAGAAGCAGTGAAGGTAGTAATTCCTTGGCAACATTAAAAATTATTACCACTCATTTATTTCCTTTCTATTACAGTAATATATTTGCAGTGCCCTGTAGCAAACTTAAATGGAATCTTTCACAGTTAAATTTGTTCCAAGTCACAAGTTGCTTGTTGTGTTTAATTGCCTCAGTGATTGAAATTGATAATTCTTTGCCTGTTTTGAATGCTGGTTGTTTCTCTTCTGCAACTTAAGAGTTTCAAATTTCCTACATGCTGCTATGTTTAATTTTGAAAAGCTTCATGGGAAATTATGATGTCATTGTGCAGTTGGGTGTTTTTAAAATACAGCACTACTTGAATCTAGAGATATAAAAGTGCTTCTAATTGATTTATAATTTGTATTCTTGATGAACATGTACATTGATTGCCTGCATGGATCACTTGCGCGACATTGAGAAAAATTGGTTTCAATCATAACACTACCTGGATTCCACACATGATAATTTCCATTTGCCGTTCTAAAGAGGTTTAAGTTTTGGTCTATTAGTTTTTATTTTATTCTTATTGCACAGGGTGAGGAAAGGCTTTCTTGATAAGATTTTAAGAATTGTTTCTCAAAAACTAGTTACTCCCTTTTACTTAGGAACATTTTTGCCACTTTTTATTCATTTGAAGCTGATGAGCGGCGACCAAGCACAGGTTCATCGTTGTACCACACACTTTACTCCAGTAGCAGTAGTAGCAGTGAATCAGGAAGTGACGAGAGCGAGTCTGAAGATGATGAGGAGGAGAGTGAGGAAGGAAGCGGGGAAGAAAGTGAAAGCGAAAGTGAAGATGAAAGTGAATCAGAAAGTGAGGAAGATGAGACACAAGATGGAAACAAGGAAGAGGTAAAGCTGGAAGTTGAAATGGAAATTGAGCAGCCAGTTGGCGAAGATCAAGAAATGGTAGCGTTGCTTGTGAAGAACAAACAAGGTGATAAATGTTAAAATAATTGGCTGAGATGATACCCTTTATTTAAGACCTGAGTATATAATGATCTCTCTCTTATTTTTAGTGTCCACTATGCTTAAACGACTTTCTCTTTTATCTGTTTTTCATTATAAATTTAAAATCTCAATAAGAGACATAAATATACATGTGTTCTCCTTAGAAATTGTATCCAATTTCATAAATTATAGTGCCAAGTTAATTAAGCACAGATTGTTTCGTAGAGTTAGAGAATAGAGGCAGATCTCTCTATTTCTGTCAAAATGGCAGATAAGTGTATCTGTTTTCTTTCTAAACAGATGTATTTCATGAACACCCTGAAGATGTGTCAGAAAAGTTATTTGGCTTCAAGGAAAATGAAGATGTAGGACGATACAATTATGATAACAAAGAACTTGAGAAAACATTTCAGTTCAGAACTCTATCTGAAAAAGCTGCACCCACTGAGACATATCGATCTTTCCATATTGCTGATATTGTACCTGATTTATTCAAAAATCATGAGGATTCTTTCAACAAAACTACGGTCATGGAGGAAGAAAATATGTCAAGTGGAAAAGAACAAGAAGTACAAAAAATAGAACCGTTACTACAGAGAGTGGCTACTCAGAATAGTAAGCGAGATTCAGAGGACAATCACAGCAACTCAGAAAATAAAAGTACAGCTATAAAACTAGAGGAGGCTGTCGAAAAAACAGAGGTGAAAGTTCCCATAGGAGCTTCAGTGTTTGGTTTTCAGGACAAAAAGACAGTTAAACCTGAACGTGTGGAGTTCATGTGTGAAAAGAAGGCCTACTCTGAAATGAATGAAAACTACACATATTCTGATGAGCGAATGCCACTTTTGTCTCCTGACAAGCCATTGGCTGTGTCACTCATTGAGCTCGACCACTCGTATGGTTTAGCTGTTCCAGAGGAATTTGCACCAGTATCTGTGGAAGAACCTGAATTGTTGGAGGGCAGTATTAAGGAGTCATTGCTCCCTAGTGACAGAGAGTTGACTGAGTCACCTGTAGTGGACATAGTATCTGTCGACTCAGCATTAACTTTGCTTCCCGTGCCTGAGCTTACTCAGGTTCCTAAGCCCCTGTTCCCTGTGCGGTCATTTGAGGCTGATGATGAGCTGGTCTACGAGTTTCACAAACTGGGGATTGATGCAGAAGATTGCTATTACTTGAAAGTCGGCTTTGAACAACTTCAGCAAGTGGCATCCGATTCAGTGGTAGACGCACACTGGAGCAGTCATCCACATATCCTTTTTGATAAATGGATTTCAATAAATACTATACAGTATAATACAATGCAGTAGTTTATTGTGTAATACACTTAGTTATATGTTTGTTACTTCACATGAAAGATAAAATGACGCACCAGCTAATTTGCAGGTATTCCACATAAATGTTATAAACAGTATAATACATAAGTAAAAATTTTGAAAAAGTATAAGTCGGGATCATGAAATACAATCTAAAATAATTGCACGTTCTACAGTTCATGACAACAACTAGAACAACCACAATACAGTTTTTAACAGTACGCTACGAGCCTGGATTTTCCATGAGTAAGCAGTCAACTTGTCGAAGCTGAGTTGACCATTGCTCAAAGAAAACGTGGGCGGGTACAATTACGATTTAATCTAGCGCTCGGGGCGCTCATTTGCTTTTGGTGGCTCGCGATAGAGCACGTACTATAGAAAGGGTACGTGCTAGGAAGGAAGGGATTCTTTCTCTTTTTCGGCAAAAACATCGGAATGTGATATAGCACCTAGTGAAGAACACATACTACAACTCAAGACTGACTTTAATCCCAGTCAAAATTACGTTCTGACGAGAACGCAGACTACGTTACAGTCTTTTCTTTGACAATGTCTTGACTACGTCACTTTCGCAATGAAGGCGCTTATTGGAACAGGGCGAATATCAAACGCTCATTAAAAAGTGACCCTCAAGGGAGAGAGCTTATTAGAAAGGAGGGTGCTAATTACGGTAGTCTGAACTACACTCTAAAGAACTACAGTTCTAACCCTAACATTTTATGTTTTCATTTTTGTTTTTGTTTTTGTTTTTTTTTTGCGACCAAAAAATATGATTTTCCCTTTTAAGAATAGACGGCGAATAGACAACGGTCGCCGGAAGAACCAATCTGTTTCATGTGAAGACAATTATCAAAGTGCTGGATGTTTCTGCAAAGTTTGAATTATGACAAGAGACTATCGGTAGCCAAGCCTAGCTGACAACAATTGAGCTTGTTTGATCATGGAAGTTTGTATTTAAGGTATATCGGAGAAATATTTGTTTCTGCTCAATGTTTTGTTTAGTCATCAATATTTCGCCTACCAGTTTTCTTTAACCTTTTTTACCAACTGCTCAACCTGTAACGAAATTGCGCCGGAAGCAGAAAACAGAACATGGTGTACGTGTGCACGTGACAGGATGTGCCCGCACTGAAGGGTTTTATAAGATTGACATCAAAGAGAAGGCCAAATACCTACAGGCTCAGAGGCGACAGCTACAGTGTCAGGCGAACGTTACTAGCGAAGGGCAGGTATTCAATAGTCTGTGCACATCATTTTCCAGCAGTGTTTAATAAGAGACTTGGGGCTGTAGTGACATGCCTCGTTTAATCAGTACAGGCCATGATAGCGTGTCTAGGGTTGGGATGATTCAGAGCTAAACAGAAGGTTGATCGTGTAGCACAGTTACCTAACTTGTAATGCGTGAAAGTCACTGTGTCTGTGTTTCAAATAGACTGTAGTTGAGGAAGAGATGATTGCTTCAGGCCATACATCTTATTTTACCTTTATCATCAGAAAACAGACGGCAATAAGGCTAAACAACAATCACGTGAACACAGAGCGATTCAAAGAAGATTACAATCAGCTGTGTGTAATGAGGAATTTGGCGACTTACTTAAATTCAATCAGCTCATGGTAAGAAAGTCAATTTATTAAGGTGCTACATGACCCTTCGTCTCATTATTTGTTCATTTCCTTTAAAGAGTAAGCACAATTCATAAGAATAAGAATTTTTAGTGCAGAGTGCACTATTAAGATGGTTTTGGGGGCTGCCTGCCGCTAATTCGTTAAACCGCTATGACGCTATGGCCCTATGGCGCTAAGGTGTAAACTTTAATGTTTGTTTAATTAATTAATTAATTTCAATTAATTAATTAGTCTAGAGGCAAGGAAGTGGTGG